TTATGAATAGCGACCCTCATTTCGTATTATAAATAGCGACCCTCTTTCTGTGTTATGAATACCGACCCTTTTGTAATATTATGAATAGGGACCCTCATGAATAACGAACCCGATTTTGTATTATGAATAGCGACCCTCTTCTAATATTATGAATACCGACCCTCTTCTTTCATTATGAATAGCGGTCCTTATGAATAATGACCCTTATGAATAATGACCCTTTTCTCCAATTATGAAAAGCGGACCTTATGAATAGCGGTCCTTATGAATAGCGACATTGACCCTGCAGTACAGTGGTCTGAAATCAGATTATTAATTACTGGCTCTATAGCTCTTAAAGAGAAGGTTGAGTTCTGGGAAGAGGTGAAAAATAATTTGTGAGCGTTATCATTCCTATTATGCAAGTGTGGAAGAACATCAGATAAGACATGTTCCCTTAAAAAGCATGGCTCTTCAAATGCCTTCATATTCTAAATATGTCATGTAACATCGTAAAACTCGGGGGAATAGCCTTTTTACGCCACGTGGTTGTGTAGTCCCATATACATCTTTCTGTGTACAGTGTTTGTAACTTTACCAAGACTTGGCCAAATTTCTTATCATTTTGATGATTCCAGAACCTTGCAATACACACAAATTCTTATATGCTAGATGATCAACCTTTTCTGGTCGATTCCACACCGTTTCTTTCACAATGCAATCGCAAAACCAGAACTCAACTTCATCTTTTAGTTGATTAAACTACTAATAGTCGTTATTTTCCCACTTAAAGACATTTTCAAGCTCCCTTTTTTTTTCGGAAAGTTCTAAATTAATATTGTCTTTCAAATGCTGTTGGAATTTAACCTTTTCATTTTTGGGGCCTGCAAATGGACATAGTACCTTTAAAGTTCCAGATATGTGTAAAACGTATTCCATTAGCAAATAATGAAATACTCAACTTTGCCTCTGAAGAAATAAAAATTCTTCATAGTTACGTGACATATTCTTTTTGTCAATACTCCTCTTTGAAAATCCATCGGCAAAGTGATTTTGAGAATTTTAATGGATATCTGCATTTAAAGTGAATTTTGATGTGGAATTGGGAAATCTTAATGAATTTTGATATTTGGAATCTCAAAGTTTGTGAATTTCAAAGTTTAAATTCATCCAATGTACAGAAAGCCAGTGCTGTAATGTTTTTCTGCCACACAAGCCTTAATTTTCATGACTTGGACAGAGGTATATAATACATGTAATGTCTTTCTGCCACACAAGCCCTCATTTTCTTGACTTGGACAGGGGTAGACAATAATGTCTTACTGCCACACAAGCCTTAATTTTCATGACTTGGACAGAGGTATATAATACATGTAATGTCTTTCTGCCACACAAGCCCTCATTTTCTTGACTTGGACAGGGGTAGACAATAATGTCTTACTGCCACACAAGCCTTAATTTTCATGACTTGGACAGAGGTATATAATACATGTAATGTCTTTCTGCCACACAAGCCTTAATTTTCTTGACTTGGACAGGGGTATATAATACATGTAATGTTTTTCTGCCACACAAGCCTTAATTTTCTTGACTTGGACAGGGTATATAATACATGTTATGTCTTTCTGCCACACAAGCCTTAATTTTCATAACTTGGACAGAGGTATATAATACATGTAATGTTTTTTTTATGCCACAGAACTGGCTTTCTGTACTGGCTTTCTGTACATTGGATGAATTTAAACTTTGAAATTCACAAACTTTGAGATTCCAAATATCAAAATTCATTAAGATTTCCCAATTCCACATCAAAATTCACTTTAAATGCAGACATGTAATTTTTTTTTTTTTTCCACAGAAGCCTTAATTTTCTTGACTTGGACAGAGGTATATAATACATGTAATGTCTTTCTGCCACACAAGCCTTAATTTTCATTACTTGGACAGAGGTATATAATACATGTAATGTCTTTCTGCCATACAAGCCCTCGTTTTCTTGACTTGGACAGGGGTAGACAATAATGTCTTACTGCCACACAAGCCTTAATATCCATGACTTGGACAGAGGTATATAATACATGTAATGTCTTTCTGCCACACAAGCCCTAATTTTCTTGACTTGGACAGGGGTAGACAATAATGTCTTACTGCCACACAAGCCTTAATTTTCATGACTTGGACAGAGGTATATAATACATGTAATGTTTTTCTGCCACACAAGCCTTAATTTTCTTGACTTGGACAGGGGTATATAATACATGTAATGTCTTACTGCCACACAAGCCTTAATATCCATGACTTGGACAGGGGTATATAATACATGTAATGTCTTTCTGCCACAAGCCTTAATTTTCTTGACTTGGACAGGGGTATATAATACATGTAATGTCTTACTGCCACACAAGTCTTAATTTTCATGACTTGGACAGAGGTATATAATACATGTAATGTTTTTCTGCCACACAAGCCTTACTTTTCTTGACTTGGACAGGGGTAGACAATAATGTCTTACTGCCACACAAGCCTTAATTTTCATGACTTGGACAGAGGTATATAATACATGTAATGTTTTTCTGCCACACAAGCCTTAATTTTCTTGACTTGGACAGGGGTAGACAATAATGTCTTACTGCCACACAAGCCTTAATTTTCTTGACTTGGACAGGGGTATATAATACATGTAATGTCTTTCTGCCACACAAGCCTTAATTTTCATGACTTGGACAGAGGTATATAATACATGTAATGTTTTTTTTCTGCCACACAAGCCTTAATTTTCTTGACTTGGACAGGGGTAAATAATCTTTCTGCCATGACAAGCTCCTTGGCTTTTCATTGGTTCCTCCACAGCATTGGAATATTATTGCATTACCTGTATTATATGTGTGTGATGTTTCTATTCAATGAGGAAAAAAGATAAATCAATTTTTTGGTCATTCAAAAGTCACAAATAAATAGTTGTATACCTTTTGGACATCAAGTTTTTTAGGCACACAAGCCTTAATTTTCTTGTCTTGGACAGGGTAGCTGATCGTCTTTTCTGCCACACAAGCCTCAATTTTCACGACTTAGGCGGGTAAATGATGTGTTTTTGCGGGACACAAGCCTTAATTTTCCTGACTTGGATAGAGGTAGACAATAATGTCTTTTGGGCATACAAGCCTTAATTTTAATTTTAAAAACCAGTCTCAACACATATTGTATTAAAAAACACACTAGATGCATTTTCATTTAATTTTAGACAAACACACAAGAAGTTGGGAATTAAGACACACAAGTAGTCTTTAGAAGGAAAAAATGAAAAGACACACAAGATACCCCTTTTTTTCAGACACACAAGACAAAAATCTCACAAGCATACTGTCGTGAGTAGTACCGTCCGTCCGTCCGTCCGTCCGTCCGTCCGTCCGTACGTCCGTCCCGTTTGACCGTTATCACAATATCTCAAGAACCATTTAAGATTTAAACTTAAGACTCGGGAATAGTATTTATCACCATAGGAAGACGATCTGATTAGATTTTGGAGTACGTAGGTCAAAGGTCACAGGTCACAGAGGTCAACTTATGAAATTCCTTGTATTGAGTTTGTTAGCGCGATATCTCAAGAACCATTTGAGATTTAAACTTCAAACTTAAGGATAGTATGTATCACCATAGGAAGACGATCTGATTAGATTTTGGAGCACGTATGTCAAAGGTCAAGGGTCACAGAGGTCAACTTATGAAATTCCATACATTGAGATTGTTATCATGATATCTCAAGAACCACTGGAGATTTAAACTTCAAACTTAGTGATAGTGTGTATCACTATAGGAAAACAATCTGATTAGATTTTGGAGCACGTAGGTCAAAGGTCAAGGGTCACAGAGGTCAACTTATGAAATTCCATACATTGAGATTGTTATCATGATATCTCAAGAACCACTGGAGATGTAAAAACTTCAAACTTAATGATAGTGTGTATCACCATAGGAAGACAATCTGATTAGATTTTGGAGCACGTAGGTCAAAGGTCAAAGGCCACAGCGCACATTATGAATGCAAAAACAGCTTGTGATCGCGTTATCTCAAGAACCGATTGATGGATTCATGCCAAAATTAGGTCATGTTTGTTACTTGCAGAGCCAATGAACTGAGTAGATTCTTGGTTCATAAGGTCAAAGGTCAAAGGTCATGGGCCCATTATGTATGCAAAAATAGCTTGTGAATGCATTCTCATTAGAACTGACAGATGGATTACTATTTAACTCAGAACATCTTGCAGAGCCAATGAACTGAGTAGATTTTATGGTCATGAGGTCAAAGATCAAAGGGTCATATATGTATATGAGAAATTGCTTGTAATCACAATATTCTGAGAACCTGTCAATGGATTACCATTGAACGTGAATTCAATTTTTTTTTTCTGTTTTGGTTTGTAAAATTGCTCTATAACGGAGGCATCACTTTCGACTGCGCGCAGTCGAATTCCATCTAGTTTTTTATGAAATTCATGTATTTTCAAGTAATCACAGTGTTTTTGTTTTTTAATGTTTTTTGTCAGTTTTGAGTCACATCAGATTTGCTTTCATGCAGATATAATAAAAATAATAACAATTGTAAAATCAAAAGTTTGAACTTATAAAATATAAACGATGAAAGGGTTATTTGAAAATTAAAGTGACATGTTGATCACCTTTTAATATCTTGTGCCATACAGCAAAAGATTCAAGCTGCCAAATTGGTAGCATTTACACCTAGTGGAGAGTGGCTAACATGGATTAATGTCCTGCCAAAAGCTCTTTATAGTGCTTTGCTAGGAATCTACCCCATAACCCTTTGATTGAGTTCAAGTGAATGAAAACTATACCACAACACATCCACAGGACCTTGATTTGGTTTTTATTTGACATAGGAAAGTTGATAGTGTCTTCGCAATATACGTTTGCAATTTCAACCATTGATGAGATGAGAGATAATTAATGTTGTTTACAAAAATAGATTATTTGAGTAATTTTGTTTGTATTTTGTGTCTTTTCAGAGAGAAGAAGAAGGAGAAGGAAAGAGATGAACTGTGGAAACGCTTGAGTAAACTGGAAATGAACCATCTAAATAACCAAACCAACAGCAGTTAGACATTATTGACTTGTAGAATGTAGACATGGCAGTGGAGATTTGTTGTGAGGACTTGCCACTGAAATGCCATCAGAGAGTCGGTCTTCTCTTCTCTGTGTTTCCCTCTGGGAATGGAAGACCTGACTGATGGAGGGAGCTTTGATTCCCCCGTTGCTGCATCGGGCGGGCGAAACCACAAAGTTTGGGCCAAAACCGATAGTTTGCTGCTGTTTCAGTGGAAGTGCATGAATGTTGTTCGTTATCTTTATATTTATTTCTTATCCAATCGAGTGTCAATGAACTCACAGTGAGCTAGCCTGGGAGGCTGGCTCCGTAGTAAAGAAGGACAAGTGGAGGAAAGCAGAGATGAAAGCAGAGATGAAAGCAAGTCATACCAATGTGAGACGCATCCTGTTGGGAGGATACCGGTAAAGAGGTTGGAAATATCACAGTCTACATAAAAAAGAAGCTGCTCACTTTCTCTCTCTCCTATACATCTGTTTCCTCAGTTGATTAGCATGAATATCTCTGTCACCTTGCCTCTTTATCACTAGATTACCCTATAGTTTCATGTCTCTTTTATGTGTGTTTGTCGTAGCTGATGTCTACTATAATGAGCGGCAATAGCTCGGTGGGTTTTTTATTTTAAGGAAGAAAACAATGTGTTCTCTTAAAAGACTGATGTGGAACATGTATTTTAAATGGATAATGTACTTAACAAAATGAAAAGTTTCCTGTTTTACCTGTTACATATTTACTCCTATTGGAGACTTCTTTTATATTCCTTCATCTAAAAGCTCTTCTAGAAGTTACACTCTGCATGCTTCTCCCTCCCTGTGGCTTATGGGTATGATTTGAATACAAGAGTACAGTACACTTATCAACAGCTCAGCAGTGAAAAGAGAATATTACGAGGAGAAGCCAAAAATGTCTGTACCTCAAACTAAATTGGCACTAAACCCATGCTCAAAGATTCATCTAATTCATATTTTAATGGCTAGCGAATATAGTTTGTATTATTCCTAAGCTTTATTAATGGGTTTAATTACTTTGTGATTGACTTTGTGATTAATCAGCCATAGACGATCTAGAGTTTACATTGTGTTTGTTTGTACAGATAGACTAAATTATTCTCCAGATTTATAAAATTCTCTCTTTTCTTCACATCATGTCAGTGGTTGTGTTTATTGTGGCTAGGATTTTGAAGCAATTGTTCCAGGAATGATATGCTTGATATTTTTTCTGAAATAAATCTTCTGTTTCCGATTCACAATGTCTATCATTGACATACTACTTGTATAATTTCTGTGCTGGAATATTAGCAGATATGTTACAAGAAAGTAGAAACAATATTGGGTTATTGAAGCATCCAAAGATGATTCTGCTGTACATGAAATGAATGAGGAATAACTTTTAGATATATGACCTATGTTTATGTTCATACATTTGTCTCAAATCTAATTGGAATATAAGTTTTTATTTATTTAACTCAATTTTAAATTGTAAATGGTATTAAGATAATCCTTGAATATCTACATGGATTAATATATAGTAAGACGATTTAAGCTTTTGCTGGTAAATCTCTTCACAATGAATACTCCAGGGAGATAAGATTCTTATGGGAACATGGTCTTTCTTTGCAGATGATCCCTAATGCAGTTCTGACTGTGTTCTGTTTAAACCCATTAGCACCTGGAAAGACACATCAGTGCCATTTACTCTCACATTGAAACAGTACATTGCATACTATATTTTATAGTTTTGAGATATGAAGAAGTTTTCGAGGCAGCACACCATCTTCAATATAAAATCAATCTAACAAGTATATCTTGTGCTGCAGCATATTCACACTTTGGTTGCTTTCTTCACCCCTCTGTGGAACACAATGGCTGTGCAAAATTACCCATTGTGATCTTGATTAGCTCCATGACAACCCTTTTAACATGGGTACGGATTAATCTAACAGTAAAATGATATTGAAGCCGTTGGTATACCTGGGTCCTGTCTTATAAAGAGTAACGATTGATCAAAATCAACCGTAAGTCCTCCAATCAGTGGCAAGTTTGCAGTCTCCTATCTCTTACGTACATAGTTGCGATTGATATCAACTCTTTATAAGACGGGCCCTGCTATCTTACCCCATATATCTATCCCAGTGGAGGCAAAGGGAGATTATTTGTGTGGCAATGGATGGTTTTGGGCAGGTGAGGACCTGTTAGAGAGGATTGGTTCTAGAAAGTGTAGGTGCTCAAAGGTTGTTTGTATCAAAGAGCTACCAATCTATTATTGTCCGGGGGGAAGTAGCATGCCAAAGTAGATGTATGATTTCACGTCAAAATATGTACTCATTTCTCCAATGCCAGATACTCACTATGAACCCTTGCTATTAACAATTAGATCACTGTGAAGGTTTCACTTGGAGGGGATAACCTTCACTTTTTACAATCATTTAAAATTAACTCTTTTCAATTTGTCTGTGTTAAAGTGAACATTTAATTTTGTTGTGACAATAATTTTGGTTGTATGCAATGTGAAAGAGCTTTTGCTCTCCCATATTCTTAAAGGGGAGGGGGGGGGGGGGGGGGGGAATGACTTTGTATATGTTAAAAAAAGAAGCAACATGTATGATTTCAGTATATTTATACAAAAATCTTTTAAACATGATTAGTAACATTTGTCGTGATAACAGGTTTTCACCTGATTGTGAAGATGTATCAGTTTTCTAAGTTGTAACGATTGTATTCGAGTTAAAAAAGCACTTCAATTCTAAAAGCACCTTAATTTGGTCAGATTATTTTAGTGTACCGATAACAGATGCTAGGGTTTGTAATCAAATATACTGGTGTAGTTGTAGTGGTTTAACGATGGGGTATTCTACTGACACTACGTCAGATTTACGTTTACTGCCATCTGCTGCTCAGAATGTACCGATGTGGTGACAGCCATGTCCCACAATGCATCACCCACAGATTACATGCGTGGTGATGCTTGGGTACAGGAACCGGAAATCGCTGTATGTACGCCTTTACCAAAAGATGGTGTTATTGAAGATACATTACAGCAGTGGCAGCAATGTTTGTAAAATACCCTGCCTTTAATAAAGCCAGTAAATCCCTGTTTGGATATTGTAACAGAATTCAGAAGTATACATTGATGTATTACAGTACTCCAAAGTGCTGGAGCGATTAGAAATTTTTTAAGTGCCATGAACCAAGATGTGTTTTTATCAACCAAAATATGAAATTAAAGCGTAATTGTTAATACTATGTTTTTTTGTTCATTTCCTAATGAATTTGCACTGTTGTGCATAGCATGATTTTCCACTAACTTACAGGTATTTGTCAGATGAGGGTTACCAAGATATGTGTTACAATAGAAGCAGCTTCAGTTACATGTATTTATCTCACCTCCCTCTATTGCCTGTGCATTACACTTTCCCTCTTGAATCTATAAATGAGTAGAGAAGGGAAACAATTCTTTATGGCAATCACACACACTTATGATGATTATAATGGTGTTGACACCTTGGGCTAAGAAGTGGCCCTTTTGATTAAATGAGACCTAACTCCTGACAACAGACCCAACCAAAATTAAACCCCCCCCCCCCCCCTCAAATGGCCAAGAATTGATCGGTGTGGATACTCTTTGTGGAGTCGATCTGGCTGTGGGGAAAAGAATTGCAAATGTATAAGGTGCAAATGATTCAGTGACATGTCGTCTTTGTTTAAATTTTCAAATGAAATGACGAGACATGTTGCACCTTTCACGAGCTAACCAGTCCTATAACGGTGATCTTCCTCATTGAGAGACATTATTATCTGACTTGGTTGCTGTTGTGTTTTTTTTTTCTTTTCAAATGCAAAGACTTTTTGGGGCTCCATATCTGATCACTGTATAATTGTATTACTTGATTGGTTTCCAGTTGGATTACCACTTCTATTAGGTTAACCTGTAACTATTTTAAGGTTTAAAGAGAGAGAGCTGGATCTAGTTGTAATTAAGAATCTGAATAGAAGCTTTCCCTTTCTCCATTACTATAGATATTAGACTATTGCACAGGATTTTTACCTTCATATAGATTCATGAAAGTGATGAAATCAAGGTAGAAATGGTACAAAATGTCACTGCCTCTGCACTGTAATGCAGCTTAAGAAACCCAAGATTTGTTACTGTTGATTGTAATGATTTAAGTTCAGGATTTGAACCAACAGGGAGAATTAATATGTATTCATATATTACATTATGTTATATTAGTTGCATTTGTTAGATTGACCAGTAAATGTGTATGTATATATAAGCTGAATATGTACATATATATATTCAGTTTGATGCAACTAATAACAAACTTTTCTTATTTGCCATGCTTGGTTGTATTTATGAATAGCATGAAATTGAACAGCATACTAAACTCAATGATCTAAAATCATGAAAATAATGAGAAGAGTATGACTCGTGCATACACTGCTTCTGTAACATTGTTGATTTCTGACTCTCAATCTCTCTCTCTCTCTCTCTCTTTCTCTCTCTCTGCCTCTCTCTGCCTCTCTCTGCCTCTCTCTCTCTCTTACAAAAACTGCTTGTCTCGCCCCTCCCCTGTGAACTTCATAACAGTAAAGGTGGAGGCACATTTCAATCATTCTTTACAATAGTCTGAAGCTAAGAAAATACATTTGTGTTCTCTCTCTCTCTCATGTATTTGTTTCATTTAGTTGGTTTATAGGAATGTTAAGAGGTAGCCCTTGCTTTTTCATGTGCATGCAAACAGCTTTCAAATTACATATTCTGTATTTACCACTGACATGTTGAACTTCTGGTCCTGATTATGCGAGATATTTTGCAGAAGATTTATGTATAAGAAAGTATTTTAGTAACATGAAAGGTTTCAAAGAGCAACACATATTTTTCTTTTACCTGGCGTCTGGTGAGCTGCCAAAATAATTAAGCAGGTGTAACAGCACACATACGTTCTCCACATGTAATGCTTTTCTAGAAAATAATTAACAGTTTTTATATGATATCCATATCCTCATCATCATTTTGACAAATTGATTCACTATTTAGAAGACTGGTTTCTTTAATTTATGTTTATGATTTCTGTTGTGTCAATTTGCCATATGAGTAAGCTGTAGACCTCATTTATTTCTATTGAGCTGATTTGGATTGTATTTAAGAAGTTCACCCATGCTAAACGCTGTGACTGTTTTTAAATACTATCTCTATGAGAAAAAAAAGCTGAATAGTTCACTTCTATCTGTTGTGCAAGGATTTTTTTAAAGAAAGGCCTCCTGTAGACTTGTAACCAACTTTAGCCACATGTTTTGTAGCATGTTCAAATAGCATTTTATGATATGATTTTTTTTTTTTTCTGGGGGGGGGAGGGGGCGTGGGTGCTACTTGTACATGGCACTTTTGACACGATGGTAACTTTTTTTCTTCTGATTGCGTTTAATTTTCTTAAAATAGAATTATGAAGCCACTTACTCTCTGTTTCTCTTTAGTACAAATAACAATAGCTGTGATGTAGTATCATGTAATGGTCACAATGTATTTAAGCAGTGATCATCCCTGTTGACCATTTTGTACGGTAAACTAAATGATTCATCCAAAAGTAGATGAATAAACTCCATTAGTATCTAGAGGTATAGCACATGTAACCTAGTCAAGTACGAGAGGTGCTTAACACAGCTAAATAATAAGCTATATTGGGCATGTTGCTTACTCTGGTCCCAGTTAATTTCTGTTCATATTTATGTGTGTGTGTGACATGGGAATATGTCTTGTATAAAGAATATTACAAAAAAACAAAGTATTCACTCAAAGATTTTTGCACTTGTGTACAGGTATGGTAAAGCTACGACAGTTAAAGTAGATTGTGATAGCAAGAAGCAATTCCTCTTTTGAAACTATAGTGACTAAATCTCTAGCAATTGTATCAGTATGAATATTTTTTGTTTTTCTTGGTTCAAGTTGTACAACTTGTTATATCTGTAAATATAGTGTACATTTTGTCTGTATATTCTACCGAGAGAATATCATAGAGATTAAATATTGCAATTTTCCCAAGCTTTGAGACAACTATTTCTTTAAAAAGGGGGTGTAAGAAAAAAAATGTTTGTGCAAGACCTCTGCATACTTGAAATGAATTAATGTATTGCGCAGATGTCTCTTCCTTTATTTCTTATGGGAGTATTGATATTATTTTTTGTTTATCCATATGATGATGACATATGGGAATGAGTAAAAACAGAAAATGTTCATGTGATGTCCTGAATTCTTCTTGTTATTTGTAATGCCTAGAATCTGAATGATATGACCGTGATCTTGGTGATTTTGTTGATGATGATGATGCTGATGTTGTTGTTCTTGATGATGTATATTTTCCTGATGTTGATGTACTGTGGATGTTGATGATGATGATGATGATATGATATAACGATTTCTTTGATTTTGATGCTGATCTAATGTTCAGGTGAACATTTCACCAATACCCAAAAGACCCTTTCTGAGATAGTTTCTGGTCTTACTGCCTCTGTTTTTAATTTATTAAATGTAGGCCATTTTTGTCAGGAGGCTATATTGCTTAGATGATGGTCGTTAACAGTGCGATAGTTGAAGCCTAAAGGTACATCCTCTCCAATTGAAAGGGGGAAAATCAGAGAGAGAAAAAGAGAGTAAGGGTAGGCATGGTGACAAGAAATGATACAAGTATTTCAACACTCTTCCCCTCACTCAATGACCTTGATCATCACATTTCATCTATCAAGTAAGTGTGTTCCCATCCCCACCCCCATGACATCAGCGCCTAGATCTTACTAGACACGCTTCGTTACTGGTCTTGGAAATGGGTAGACTAGTGATGTGTTTTGACAATCAAACCTGGGTTTTTTCTTCCTGCGTTAGATGTCCGTACGTTGTCCCAAAACTTTTTTACACAATATCTTGATTCAATTTTAAAGAATGTAAATATATAAAAAGGAGAAAAATTAGGTAGGCCTGTGTGTGATAATGGTACCACTCAAGAGAAGGGTGTCGAAGACATCAAGGTTAATCAGCATACTTACCGATGTAGCGCCATCACTTCACCTTTTTTAAAAAAATCGTGAGAAATGATGAATAAAAAGCAAAGAAAGAGAAAAAAACAAAATAAAAAGGGGGTTCAAACCTGCATTTGATTTAACCACAGACCACCGAATACAATGTCAATTCTTCCTATTCGCCCCCCCCCCCCCCCTCCCTCTCTCTCTCTCCCTCTCTCTCTCTCTCTCTCTCCCTCTATTTCATTGCACCATTCTCTTGTTATTATTTCTGTATTTTTAACCCTTACACTGCCCCTACAATTCAACAAAGTTAAAGAATGGAAACATTTCGCCCCCCCCCCGTCCATTCTTCTCTTAGACCTTTAGTCACCCCCCCCCCCCCACCCTCACCCCCACATTCATTGTATCAATACATCGATAATGACCTCTCTTTCGCCCCATCTCTTGGTTTGGGTGAGCCGTTTTCCTCGCCCCATCATGTCTGTCTTCTCTCTTTCTCCTCTCTCCCTCTCCATCCCCTTCACTCCCACCCCTTTCTCTCTCTCTCTCTCTCTCTCTCTCTCTCTCTCTCTCTCTCTCTCTCTCTCTCTCTCTCTCTCTCCGTCTCTCTTTCTCTCACTTCACATTCATGGTAACTCACAACGAAACAGTGACAGTGTTCAGTTTTTCCTTGCTATTGTATTTTCTTTATTGATTATAGAATGCTGCAATGGTAATTGTTTTACATCATAATTCACCTTTGATATCAGAGCCATTACAGTGAACGTACTTATCCAGTGAAATAAAAATTATACCCATTGACCGTGGATTGAAAAAAAAGATTTATACCATTTACCTCGCCTAGGTTAAGTGTGGCAATGAAGATTAATATCTTGCCAATGAACATTAGTGCTGCGACACGGATTTGAACCCTGTACCTTGTTGTTGGCAGTCTGGAGACCTATCAACTGGACCACAATATCTCCACCTCTATAATCTCACGACTTTAATCGCTGATGAAAGGGAGTGCACCAGAGTGATATAATATCATAGGTTGAAAACAACCTCTAAAACCCACGACAGTTTGATTTTGTGTTAAAGAGAGATAGAGAAGAAGAAAAATACAAATCTAGCATTTTCAATTGTCAGGATTTTCCATCATCGATAATTATGTTATGACATATCAAGTGAGGATGAAGGATTTTCTTTCAGTTTACGGATGAGATTCTATTCATTTAATCAAGCAACAGCAAAAAAATCAACGAAAATGAAAATGCTCAAAGCAGAACATTGAACTACAGAAGGAATCAAATTGTCTGGACCAGACCACAATGTCCACCCATTTTAATACAGCTTATTGGAGTAATATTTATGGGATTATCCCTAAGATGCATTAAGATGTTCAAAATTAATCCCCAAATACCATAACCTTGATCCTTTCTGTGTGTGTGAGCTTCAATATAGCCCTACCAACTGGGATAAATGCTTAGGTTTAAATTCACTATATTCAAAATATTTGTTTGATAGGTTTTCGCTGAAAGAAGATCTCGTTTCTTGGAACTCCTTTTTAATCGAGGTAAGCCAGGAGGTTGGGTGAGCCAGTCTCAGCGTCTCCAACCTTGCCCGAGGAAGCGTTACTAATGATAGCAGCGTACACTTTCTCAGAATCACTCTCTGAAGCAGACATTACCGCAGCAATACCTGGGGAGAAGATAACAGTGTAGCATGAGGAAATTACATTTATTGTCAGAACTATTTCACAATTTTTTTCATTAATCACCCAATTCTAAGACCTACCTGAACATAATTAGAAGAGTATGTCTGCGAAAATAGCTACAAGAGTGCTGGTAGTAAAATACAAAGGCGTAGTATTGACAAGGGTTTTATTAACAGTTTTGTACCCTCACCATCAACATAATGCCCTCTCTCCTTTATTGTTACCATGATGGTATTACTCTTACACCATATGTTAACACAGAAGCACATGAAAACGATATTATGGGTTTTAAAGCTTGCGTTTTCCTCAGGTCAGATTCGGTCATGTTCGTATATGGCAAGCCGTTTAAACATTAATCCTATTTCGTGATATAAAAAAATATATAATGCTTGATACCAATTACATATTTTTTGATATCGAGATTTAATTCTTGAACTGCACGCATCGTGAAAATATAAAAATCCATTGGGAAAATATAACTCCTTTTGGTGATCCAATAATATTCAAGGTTTATTAATTTAAAAATATGAATCGCAGCCAGAGGGGGGGGGGGGGGGGGGGGGGGGGGTGGGGGGGGGGGGGGGGGGGGGGAGGGGGGGGGGGGGCTAAATTGTCCAATAATTTTTACAAAAGTATTTACATGATTTAAAGAAAAACACCATAGAATCATTATGATACAAGTAAACAATATGCAATTGTAAATAATTCATGAGTGTAATACCAAGGAGAGCATGTGAGGCTACCATGAAGCGAGTAGTACATTTTAGCTGCATAGGTGGAGGTTCAAAGTAGTATAGTGTAATGTAAGCGAAGACCGCAAGCTTTGCAAGCTCCATGTTTTGAAAAGACAGTTGGAAGGGAGAGACTGAGAGAGAATGTCATATTACGCACCTAACCAGAGTCAATATCTGTATACCTCTCTTTAGAAATCTAGCCATCTGATTGGTCGAAATTTGAGTCGTGATTTAAGCCATGCCCGCCTACCGGTCAATAGTCGTTTAAAAGATGCCCGCATGCCCCGGTTAACGGGCCGCATAAATACATTTTGGTGAGATCCCCATTGGTGCACGTGTAAAAGTTTCTTTGTGTGAGCGCGGATACAAAGAGTGCAGTGCGGGTGCGATTCCCGAATGATTGTAACATTCAGGCAACTTTCCAGCGAAGATTTACAGACAGCGTCTCAGATTTTCTGTGATGTTTTAACCAGTCTTTACTCAAGTAAGGATAAGGTAATAATTCTTTGCAGATTTTGTGTGTGAATTCGGTATATAAAAGATATATCGACTGCTTTAATATTCGAAGCATTGATGTTTATATACTGGCTCTCGGGGACGTTACATCCTGATATGACCCCGAGGCGTGCCGGGGCCTATCGAAACATAGCAGTCAATATAATTATCTATATTATAAGATGATGAAGCGGATCCAAATCAAATGATTGGTTGAGAGCGTACACGTGACCAAGCATTTATTTTGCCTAACACTTAATTTTACTAATGACCGGTCGTTAGTAAAATCATTTTATAAAACATTATTTTATAAAACAATCAAAATATCCTCTTATAAAACAATAATACAAATCATTTTGTTCGGGCATTAGTAAAATTACTCACATGAACTCGGTACCTACGAAACAGTCCTAAGGTACCTCGTGTTGGTAATTCTTACTAATGCCCTCACTGTAGTGTATTATTTGCATATTTTCTAATATACCACTCTCTGCTTTTTTATCGCGGAGTAGCCTCAATGAAACAATGTTTATGATATTACATAATTTTTCGTTACCTGCAATGATGAGGGCATGACATGCTGGTTCCGCTCTTTGTGCTTGTGGAAGTTTTGGAGCTAATACCGCAACTTTTGATGGATGAACCAGGAGCAAAGATATCAACACATGTGCCGTAGTTCGAGAAGGAAGATCTTTGGTCAGAACTGGTAGTGGCACCCACGGTGATAGCCTACATGCACACAAGTCATAATCATTATTCAAACGCATACACATGAACGTGCAGAAGTAAACCTTTAATACCAAGGTCCATTTGGCACACTGTAAATACAAAAGCCTTTGGAATAATGAAAAGACAGAATACAAGACATACAAAGGCGTGGATCCACATTATATTATTGTATAAAGCACGTCAAATATTTTACACCAAATAATATAGTGAAGAAAACCCGTATCCGGACACATACCCCCTGGACATCCACCCCGGATAACCACCACCGGTCAACTGCCCCCTAGGACAACTACCCCATAGGACAACTACCCCCTAGGACAACTACCCCAGGGTAGTTGTCCGGGGGTAGTTGTCCTAGAGGATGGTTGTCGTAGGGGGCAGTTGTCTGGGGGTAGTTGTCCGGGAGTAGTTGTCTGGGGGTTAGTTTTTCCAGGGGTAGTTGTCCCGGGGGTAGTCGTCATAGAGGGTGTTTGCCCTTGGAGGTAGTTGTCCTAGGGGTTAGTTGACTGAGGTGGTTATCCGTGGGTGGATGTCCAGGGGTAGGTGTCCTAGAACCAAGAACCATTGTACTCTGCTCTTGATTATGTCATAATACTTTCTCACTACTTGTTTATGGTTTTCAATTAGTATTCATTCTTCTTTAAATAAGTAACACAGAAAGAAACAAAACTAGGAAGGGAATTTGATTTTTCTGGTTTTCTCAGTGGGATCATTCAACTGTTTGGATTACAAATGTTTTATCAGGTATGATAAAGATAATAATGCAGATATATATTTATTCATTTCGCATCTTTGTACAGAGTATCATGTACAGCTACATAATCATTACGGAACATTGTTAAAACATTGAAATAGGCTGGTTTACAACAGGGCTCTGTTTAAAAACGACATTATGTTCTGCCTTTTTCCATTCTATTCTCCTATCAGCTCACTTCCGCCTCTGATATCAAACGAAAACTATATGAGAATAATACTGAATCACAATGTACTAAATAAGGAGAGATGGAAGAGGGAATGAGAGAGGGAGGAGGTATATAATAGATTGATAATAAGGGCAGATCTGAGGCCCCCTACTCTATATAGATAGTGGGAAAAACATGAAAACCTTGAGCAACCCTTGGGTGGATATGTTGCGCATTATAAATGCCTGCATTATTATCGTTCAGGAATATAAAGGAGGCTATGCCCCGCCCCCATTGTAATACTCGCGGGAAAGAATTCGGGAATACATCTCCCCCCCCTCCCCCC